ACTGTATTAGATTGACAGCCTTTGGACTTGGAGATCAGGAGAGTGCTACCAACTGAGCCAAGCTGACACTACTTTATTTTATTACTTTATTACTCTGAATCAGAAGGTTGAAGGTATAAGCCCTGCAATGAAACTCATAACTCAAAGGGTACACTTACACTCTAGTGCAATATTGTGGGAGTCTGTGTTGTCACAGGATCCGTCCTTTGGATAAGAAATTAAATTGAGGTTTGATCTTCCTGTTCATCTGGACTTTAAAGGTCCCATTGCACTATTTGAAAAGAGAAGGGAGTTTCTCCTGATCAATTGTGCCTAGATTTTAAAAAATGATAATTCACTTCATGGCTGTTGGTGGAACATTGATATGTGCAAATTGCCTACCACATTCACCTGCACAGCTAACAGTCACTACACTTTACAGAAGATTAATAATCCCTTTAAAATATAATAATAATTTGGTCACTGAATCCCTGACTGTTTGTGGGACACTGCTGTGTCTAATTCGCTGCTGTGTTTTGCCCACAAAATATACAGTCAATTGACTTTACAATATATTTTATGAAGCGCTTTGAGATGTCTCAAAGCCTTGATTAGGCACTATATGAAATCCAAGGTTTATTATTATTATTCTCAGCGAAGCAATTTGAGACATTCCCAACATGGTATGAAGTACTATGTGAAATATAAAGCATATTATTATTAAAGCCCAGGCTCCAAGGCTGCTGGACTCTGGAATCTCCAAACAATTTCCACATTCACGTGTTCAGAAGTATTCATTTTACAACAGCAGAAAAGTTCAGTTTCAGTGGGAAAGATTAGCTGTCACACACAGCGATTCGCTTGTGTCTCCCCATCCATCAGTTTGTGGTTTGCTGTACCGACAGAATTTGGCTCAGTTTAGTTATTCTCTGTGAGATTTAAGTGCCTCATTAATCAAATAGCAAATACTACTTTGGCAGATAAGGAGATTCATGTGTCTTAGCTGATGAATCCCATTTAAAAATATAAGGTTCTCACTGTGTTGTATTGATTGATGCATGAACTCTGCTGAGCTGATTGGAAGTGTACAAAAATATTGATAGAGAACCTTTATTTCCCTCCAATTTCACTATTTAATGCCAATTGATGCCTTAATAATAATAATAATCCTTGCATTTGATAGCGCTTTTCACGTCGGGAGGACATCCCAAAGCGCTTCACACAACACACTGTATAGTGAATTGACTATATATTTTTGTGGGCGAACGCAGCAGCTAATTGTGCACAGCAATGTCCCACAAAGTCAATTGGAGGATCACTTTTCCAGGGGTAATATTCCTTAAAAAAAATTGGATCACTCAAGCTGTTTGTGAAACACTGCTACGTGTTTCGCCCACACGTATACTGTCAAATCACTTTACAGTATATTCTGTGAAGCGCTTTGAGACATCTCGAAGATGTGATAAGGATCTATATCAAATGCAAAGATTATTATCAATATTATGTTGGGGTTTTGCCTCATCTTGTCTATGCTGATCCTCTTGTACATTTCTGGGGGTGGGCAAGAATGGGGCAGGGTAGGGGGATGGTGGGGAGTGTTGCATTGATGGAGATGCTGTCCTTCAAAAACATTAAACCAAGGTCCTGTCTGCCTTTCCAAGTGAACATTAATACTATGGCTCTATTCAGAAAGTGAAAGAGCTTATCCCAGTTTCCAGGCCAGTGGTCTCTCAGATGGTCATTTACTTCATTGCTGTTTTGGGGACATTGCTGCCATGTCTGTAAATTGGCTGCCACATTTGCTTGCAGATGCACAGCCACTGCATTTTAATGCATTTTCCAGTGAATCCTGTGAAGAACTTTGAGATGTCCTTCAGACGTGAAAGCACTATATGAAATGGAAGGATTATTATTATTGTTATTGATGTTTTCTGCTTCAATCTTGGCTTCTTGAAGTGAGTTTCATATTCTCATTATCCTCAAGAAGGTCCTGGCCTCAATCACCCTCGCTGGTAATCTGTTCTAGTTGTTAATTACCCTGTGTTTTAAAATGTAAAACACGAAAACACTAGAGAATTCCACATCTAAATATTGAGTATATGTAAAGGTGTGAGCTATTAATCCTGGAGTATAATTTAGTAGCTCGATTCTGTCTTGAATGGTAAATGTATTTTAATGGAGAGTCATGTTTTTGTTTCCGGTGGATTAGGCATCAGAAGTAATTCATTATTTACATTCTGGTAACAATGGAAACATAATAAGGTGTGTTTGACTATTGAGCAAATTAACTTTGAATTTATTCCCTCTCTAAAAAAAAATGCAAATTAGCCCTGGTTCAGAGTTTACTGGTTCATGCCCCAAGCAAGAAGACAAACTCATAAATTAGGTTACAAAACTAGGCTTTGGAGTCCTGTAGCATAGTGATTAGAGCACTCACCTTGAATAATTTTTCAAAAATAAATAAATAACAACAACAATTTGGTGACTCAATCTACAACTGCTTGTGGGACACTGCTGTGCACAATTGGCTGCCCTGTTTCACCCACAAAATACACCTTCGATCGACTTCACAATATATTCTGTGAAGCGCTTTAAGACATCTCAATGATGTAATACGGTGCTATATCAAATGCAAAGATTATTATTAATGCTGCACTCCCTCCCTGCTGTACATTACTGTAAAGAGGAATCCAGCATTGGAGGAGGCAGTGTCCTTCAGTAGAGACTTTATAGAGAGACATTTAGCTCAGTTGATCTGTTATAGGCAGTATAGACACGATGGGCCAAATGGCCTTCTAATGTACCAAAATTTCTAAAAAAAAATAGTGTGACGCTATTTCAGAGTGTTTCTTGGAATTCATCTCCTGTCCTGTCCAATTTTCCTGTCTCAACCCAGATTTACCAAAACAGATGCTGCATCACAATATACTTCAGAGTAACTTGTTATATGAAGTGCTTGAACATGACGTGCTAATATCAAATACAAGTACTATTTGTTATAATTTGTGAGTGTTATAACTTCAGAAGCCGCAGCTGGCTGAACTTTCACGAGCATCAGTTCTTGAATTCAGAAAGATTTTACTTACTTCTGACTACTACAGATTTACATAGTTTATGTTGACTACACATAAACGTAAGGCGCAATAAGTCCATACCAGTGTTCATATTCCACACAAGTGTCTCACCCATTGCTTACTCCTTCCCATTTCACCCACAACATACATAGTCAATTAATTTTACAGTATATTCTGTGAAGCGCTTTGAGATGTCTTAAAGACATGATAAGGTACTATATTAAGTGAAAGGTTTATTAGTATTCCCTTCTTTCTCATGTGTATATTAACTTCCTCTTAAATCCATCTATACTATGCGTTTCAAAACAACTTCAGCAGCAAGTTCCACATTCTCCTTATCTTCTTTTTCTCTTAGATTCTCTTTTAGATTGCCCAGTCATTATCTTATTGTTGTTATCTTATTATCTTAGTTACAGACTCCCAAGCCAGTGGAAACAGCCTATTTATGCTAACCTTATCACACCCTTTTATAATTTTAAACACCTGTTTTAGGTTCTCCCTTAAATAGTGATAAAAAACTTAACCTGTCCAGTCTATCCTGACGGCAATAACCTGCCTTTCTTGGTATCATCCCTGTAAGCCTTAGCTACGCTCTTTCCATTGCTGTTATGTTTTGTGTCAGGCAGAGTGGATTATTCAGTCTGTGGTTTAATCCATTCTGCTACCTCTTGCACAACTCCACATGTCCTAATTTTAGTCATGAGTCTCTCATGTGGCATTTTATCAAAGTCCCTCAGGAAATCCAAATAAACTACTGTGTTTCCCTTGACTATTTTACCTGTTACATCTTCAAAGAATTTGATAAGGTGAGTCAAGCATGACCTTCCTTTGTAAATTCAAGCTCTTAATTATATTTTCCTCCTTGAGCTGACTAGTTGCTTCTTTTATTATTAGGATTACAATGCTCTACCCACAAGCAATGTTCAAATGACGGACCTGTAGTTTCCTGGATTAGGTCTATCACCCTTTTAAGAAATAGTTATTACACTGGCCGCCTCCGCCCGGTTCTTTGTCACGGGTCCTTTCTCTATTGCGTTCTTAACTATGTACTAGAGCCTCAGCTATCTCCTCCCTCGCTTTCTGAGGAATACTTGGGTGCACTCCATCTGAGTCAAGGGTTTTGTCCTCTTTAAACTTCTGTAATTTATCTAGTATTACCTTTTCAACCATAAAACACACAGTCGCTACACTTTACAGTATATCATGTGAAGCGCTTTGAGACTTCAGTGATGTGATAAGGGGCAGTATCAAATGCAAGGATTATTATTATTTTTCCATATCTTAATTGTTGTGATTTAACACCGCGCTCCAAATGTAGCCAGCAAACTTTTGGTGTTACTTTATCTAGTCAGGCAATTGGGATTGATTGCAACTTTCTGCCAACATCCAAATAATCAGAATTTTGCTTTCTTCAACCTCGATCTCCCGGGTTTTACACTTTGTTAATCTGAGGTCCTGTCTGCCTGTTTAGGTGGATGTTAAAGTCTCACGGCACTATTCAAAAAGAGAAGGGATTTTCTCCCTGTGTCCTGGCCAACAATCTCCTAGATAAAATTGGTCATTCACTTTACTGCTGTTTGTGGGATGTCACTACGCAAATCGGTTGATCCGTTCATTTGCAAAATACACAAGTCACTATATATTACAGTATATCCTGTTGACCACTTTGAGCCATTTCTGATGTGACAAGTGCAAGATTTGTTATCATATAATGACTTCGGTAGTGAGTGCTTGGATTTTGAGAGATATCTGCATTTATATACTTGATACATGGCTTTAATTTAATTTTCTATTGATTTGAAATAAAAATAACTGAATGGAAAATTGAGTTCACTCATTTTTGAGTGGAGTGGGCTATAAATTTGTAAGACATTAATAGATTATAATCTATTAATTTGAAATTGTGTGTGATGTTAACCAAGGATATTTTTATTGTAATTCCCTCAGGGTGGGAGCCAGTCTACAATTCTCATGTGATGACAGCTATGTTCTTCAAGGGTCCAAGAGCATCACTTGTCAGAAAGTGACTGACACATTGGCTGCTTGGAGTGACCACAGGCCATTCTGTCGAGGTAAGTCATCAAAACGCACATTCACAACTGGGGGTAATTTACAGGAAGGATATAATCACTGGAAACAGCCTATTTACGATAACATTAACAAACCCTCATAATATTAAACACCTGTTTTAGTTGCCCTTTATTGATAAAAAGCTTAGCCTAGCCAATCTATCATGATGGCAATAACCTGCCAGCCCTAATGTCATCTGAGTAAACCTCAGCCGTGCTCTTTCCATTGCTGTTATATCCTTCTCGTCGTGTGACAGCCACACGACGAGACACAACCAACCCTCACAACCCTCTCCCACAACCAACTCCTCTCCCACAAATGTCTGTTTCCTGGATCCCAGCGATGCAGTGTGTTCCTTTCCCTTTCCTGAATATACTTAACATAATATAATATAATTTAACATATAATATAAAATATAATTTAATATAATATAATTTAATATAATTGAATATACGGTCATTCACTTTACAGCACATTCTGTGAAGCGCTTTGAGATGTCTAGAAGATGTGAAAAGTGCTACATCAAATGCAAGGATTGTTATTATTTTTATTTATTATAAGAAGAAAAGCAACATGAGGTACAATAATTTCTGCTCTGAATGAACTTCCTTTTATTGTCAACGGTGTGTCTGACACAGGTGGAAACCCACCACCACACTTAACAGTATCCAAACCAGTCTGATAGCTCCATGCATATCACCTACATTTGGGAATTCCAGGGTATTGGAATGGAACGCGCACTCTGTCCCGCTAGGGATGGATCCTTACCGAATTCCATTGCCGGATGCTGCCAAGAGCCAAGGCTTGGGGATCCCTGCATGTCTGTCGGGGCACTGATGGAGTTTAACCAACTAAACTATTTTGTAGGAATTGAAACATTTTCACCCCACAAAGTATGCTAGCCTGGCTCAGCTGGTAGCACTCTCAACTCTGAATGAGAAGGCATGGGTTCAAGCCCTACATCAGATCTTGAGCTCATAATAATAATAATAATCCTTGCATTTGATATAGCGCTTTTCACGTCGGGAGGACGTCCCAAAGCGCTTCACAGAACATACTGCAAAGTGAATTGACTGTATATTTGTGGGCGAACGCGGCAGCCAATTGCGCACAGCAATGTCCCACAAACAGTCGTAGATTGAAAATGACCAATTAATTATTGTTTTTGGTTTTTGAAGGGATTATTATTAGGCGTGTGGAGTAAGGAAACTTGCCCAAGGTTTCGCCCTGCCTGGAATTGAACTCAGGTCTCTCACTTGCAAAGCGAGTGCTCTAACCACTGAGCTACAGGACTCCAGCAGAAAGTCTGTGCTGATACTCCAATGCAGTGCTAGGGCTGTGCTGCACTGTTGGCGTTGCCGTCCTTCAGATGAGAAATTAAATTGGTTTCCCATCAAGTCTTTTGGATTGGATTTACTTAGGAAATGTCAGTAGCTTGTCTCTGCTGAATTTACCAGTCTCTGGAACATAAAAGTGGTGGAAGTGATCAAAATATGAAGAGAAAAAAAGGGTGTTTATTTTCCTCCATTGTCTTCTAATAGGTCCTCCTATGCTCGCTATGTTTCTCTTTAGTAAAGCATGGACTAGCTCCCAAACATCTCTATTCGCTGTATCAAAACTGTGGCTGGTTGTGAGATAAGCTAAGTCACATTAACTTCCCCTTGAGATGCAACCCCCAAGCGTAAAGTAGTGATGGTTGTTTTGTAGCGAACACAGCAGTACAGAAATGACCCGCAAACAGCCATGAAGTGAATGATCAATTCTACCTGGGCCATTATTAGTCAGTATTCAGGGAGAAATTCACTTGTGTTTTAGAATAGTGTTGTGGATCTTTAATGTCTACCTGGTAAGAGGTAGACTGGACCTTGGTTTAACATCTATCCAAAGGACAGTCAGTGCTTCCCTCCCCACCAGCACTGCATTGGAATGTTTACCGAGAGTGATTTCGAAGTCCTGATGAAACCAGGACTTGGACAATAAGGACAATATTTCCTTCTGACTCAGAGGCAATATTGCTACTAACTGTTTCAGGCTGACACGCTACATTTATATAAAGTAACAGAATAAAATGCTTATAATTATTTCAAGCAAATAATTTGAGTGATTGAAGAAATATCGTGTACATATTTTTTTCCCAAAGAACTGAAGATCTCTGTGAACCAATTGTCTTCAGATGCTTTGTCACAGCAAAGATTTGAAGGCTGGATTAGTCTTCCGGTCTTTTGTGAGTTCAGCAGCAGGAGCTTTCAGTTATCTTGGTTGGAGAATCTAAAACTAGGGGTCATAGTCTTAAGCTTAAGGGCCAGCCTTTTCAAACTGAGTTGAGGAAATATTTCTTCACTCAGATGGTAGCGAATTTGTGGAATTCTCTACCGCAGAAGGCTGTGGATGCTCAGTCCTTGAACATATTCAAGACTGAGGTTGATAGATTTCTAAAGGATAGAGGGATTAAGGGATATGGGTAAATGGAATTAGGTTGGAAGATCAGCCATGATCTTATTAAATGGTGGGGCAGGCTCGAGGGGCCAAATAGCCTACTCCTGCTCCTACGTCTTATGGTCTTATCTTTCAATCCAGAGTTTTTCAGCTTTTTGATCAGTCAGGCTATGAAATCTGCATCTTTATAAGAATTAATAGAGCTTGATAATCAGTAAAGTGGACAAATGAGATGCTGAGATCTAACTTGCTATATTGCTCAGCAATTTATTAATAAGAAATGTGGAATTCCTGGATTTCTAAATTATCAAATGTGTTGAAAAATTCATTCCTCAGCACATGTGTCATCTGAGGAAAGAGATAATTACATATTTTGTATTAATATATCTCTTAAGAAATATAACAAATTTGACTCTAACTAGTTCCAAATCACTGAGAGGGAGCATATCAATAAGGAAAATAAGGGAGGGCCAAGGATGGAGTCTTGAGGTATGCTGCAGGTGACCAGGTGGGGCCTGGAGAAAAAACATTTCAGACAAAGTGATTGCAGTTGGTGAAGTAGGATTCGAACCAGGCGAGTGCAATCCCATTGAAGTGAAGAGGGAGTGGAGAGGCAGGGGAGGAGGATGGCAAGTCGTACTCACACTGTACAATGCTCTGGTCAGGCCACAACTAGAGTACTCCACACAGTACTGCTCACAGCAACATTTCAGCCATTATGCTCCCACTCTCTGGAACTCCATCCCAGACTCCCTCCAACTTGTTCGCTCCCTTCCCTCTTTCAAGATCCATCTCAGGACATACCTCTTTGAGTTAGTAGTTGGCCATTTGGGCTTCTCAACTTGTCCAGCCTCATCTTTCTCCATGTATGCACAGTTTGGAAAAAGCCCTGAACAGTAATCATGCCCCTGACAGCACTGTTTTTATGCACTGGGATTTTATGGTTCCTTAACCCACACACGCACAGGCACACACATTATAACAAGGCTCCAATTACTAAGTAAATCCCAAGACATTTCAAGGAAGGCTGGATTAGCATATACATTCTTTCATGGTGTTGTTCCTTACACATGCATTACAATGTATCATTACACCATTCTTGATAAATGTGAGGGTATTACAGAATTCATCAGAGCAGATTGATAGTGCACTGTTCATTTGAAGATAAAACCGTAGGAACAGGAGCAATAAACATGCTTGTCACAGGTGCCACTGAGTGAATTGAGCCTCATCTGTCAAGGAGAACATTTCTCAAACACTCTGTATCCAGAGATTCTGTAGTTAGATTACCGAAATGGAAATGCTGATTTTAGAAGATCCCACTTACAGGCGTTTAGTAACAAATTTAATAACAAATTTGTTTGTTTGTATTTTAGGAAACCTGTATAATATCTTTTAAGTTGTTTCCATTTTGTTGCGTAATGTTCCCTCTTTGTGCTATTAAGAGAACTTACAACAAGCAGAAATTTTCAACAGGAAACGTATACCCGTGATTTTGCATAAGTGTAACTTATTGGTGGACAGTTGGGGATATCTCCGGATTTTTCACCACTCTTGGTTAAGAATGCCGAGGTCAATTGTAGTTTCCCTACTGAGTCTTCAGCTGATCCGAGCCAACTTAACACGAACATCAACTTGCCCCTCATGCAGGTAGAGTGTCGGAGTGCTTAACAGTTGTAGAGCTTGATGTCGAACAAAGGGAGGTTTGAAAATGGACAGGAGGGGTTAAGGCGAAAGGATTGAGAGGCAGATAATTCCAACGTTTCAGGTATCGTGGCTGAAAGCACAGCCACCAATGGTGGAGCAAAGGTTGTTGGAGTGGGATGTAAGCAGGTTGGAATGGTAGGAAGATGCTGGTGCATGAACTCAGCAGAGATCAGGGATCAAGATTGGGACTTCCTCAGCCAGTTTTGGTCACCATGGAACTGTCTGGTATATTTACGCAGTGAGCCATTTGTGAAGCTCCAAAAAGCAGAGATGGCTTTAGATCTGTGATGCTAATTCTGTTTTCTACAGGAGGAGGTGAGAACATGAGGGAAGTTAATGATAAGAAGGCAAAGGAAATGAAGCAGGGAAAGGAATAGATAACAACACCACAACCTTGAATGTGTGACGCATTGGAATTAACTGCGTTTTGGTTTGATTCAGTGATCGACTCCTGTTTTGTTTTTTCAAAAAAAGGCTCAGCAATAAACAATTCATTAATCAATTAGTTCAACAAATGTAATTATCTCAATTGAGCAAACCTGTTTCCTGAACAAGATCTACAGAGAGAGATCCTGAAAGATTTGGGCTTGTACTTTGGTCATTGGTCTTCTTGTCAAGCATTGAAACATGACCATGAATGGACTTTGGCTGGTTGTTTAACAGCTTCGCCCACACCGTGAGGAAGGCAGCACTATATCAAACTGCATTATATGGGCGAACCCCTGAACTCAACTAACTGTAGTATGTATGCAGAAGCAGCACAGTTCTTGTATTACCATAATTAGTCTAACTGTTCTAGGATTATCTCCTAACCTCTGGAATTCCATCCCTCGATCACTTCACCTCTCTATCTGTCTTTAAACCTAAAGATCTACTTTTTTGACTATATATACTGTCACCTCCCGCCTTTCCTTCTCCCTTGTTCAGTGTCCAACCCCATCTTTGTGAAACGCTCCCAAGAAATTCATAGAATGCAACAATATATCACTACATGTGGGGTCTGGCCAGATGGACAGCAATAGTCTTTTGCATTTCTGTACTATTGTGTTGCTATTCTACATTAAAAACAACAATAATTTGGTCACTCAATCCACGACCTTGTAGGACACTGCTGTGCAAAATTAGCTGCCGCCTTTTGCCCACAAATATACAGTCAATTTACTTTACAATATATTCTGTGAAGCACTTTGAGATGTCTAGAAGATGTGAAAGGTGCTATATCAAATGCAAGGATTATTTATTATTACAATGACCCTAAAACAATTGAAAGGAATAATGATGTTCAAATGTAAGCTTTTTTTTCTTTGGAGACCTAGCACTCTTATGTGAAGTGAAGGAATGTGGAGAGGTAAAAAGTTCAACTTCTACTCCTAAAACTATGGTGGACCATCAATCTTATTTTCTTATTTTTAATTAAATGATTGATTTTTAGCTTTCAAAGATTGTTTCCCAACCCTTCAGTAATTAGCCAGGATTTGAGAAGCCTCTTGAAATTCCTGGATTTACAAGGCTTCAAAAATTCATAGGCATATGTAATTCCTTCTTGACTGCCTGGCTGGCCAGCCTGCTGTTTCTACAGAACATTGCACTTTCCATGCAGCAAAACTGATTAAATGCCACACTTTCAGAACTGTGGACGTAATAGGGAAACAGAGAGATATTCTTTGACAACATAAGTTAATTCTCCACCACATACACAAATGTGCTTGTCAATAGATTCAACATCATCATAATAACAATAATCCTTGTACTTGAAATAGTGCCTTATATTGTTTCAATGTCTCAAAGAATTTTCTTGTAGAATGTAGTGACTATATAATTTGTAAGCATTGCAGTGAAAGTTACGATATTTGCACATATATGGAGAAATCTGTACTGGGGTCATCTTAGCTCCATTTGTAGTACTCTCACCTCAGAGACAGAAAGCTGCGTTCTTGATATATTGTTCTTCATAAATGATTGACAGCGGTGATGTGCTCCGCAACTGTCAAGCTCTCTGGACACTACCCTGCTTAAGGGACACTCCACAAATGCATTGTTGTTGTGGATTCAAGCCCCGGGTTGGGACTTTGAATTCACAGTCAAGGCTGAACCATCATTGCATTACTAGGGGAGTGCTGCCTTGTTGGAGATTCTGTCCTATTGATAAGACAAACCAAAGTGCTGTCTGTCTATTCAGGTTGATGTTAACCGTCCCTGTGTCCTGGCCAACAATCCCCCTGATAAAATTTGTCATTCAGTTCATGGCTGTTTGTTACATTGCTGTGTGCAAGTTGGCTTCCACATTTCCCTACAGAACACACAGTCTCTGCACATCACAGCAAATCCTGTGATGTGCTTTGAGATGTCCTCCCATGGCTACATCAAATGTAAGGATTTTGAGTATAATAACCATGAGATTGTCCTTTACAAAATGTAAAATACTGCAGATGCTGGAAATCTGAAACAAAAACAGAAGTCGTTGGAAACACTCAGCAGGTCAGGCAGCATCTATGAAGAAAGGAAAGTGAGTCAACGTTTCGGGTCCACGACCCTTCATCAGAACCGAGTGATTGTCCTTTAGTTTTAAACATCTAATATTCAGCTCATAGATTTATCACAACTCCACTTGAAAAACATGATTTGAAATATAATTATAATAATACTTGCCTTCAGGAGGACGCCCCAAAGCGCTTCACAGGACTTTTTAACATCCATCTGAACAGGCAGATGGAACCTCTTATGTTTGCTTCTAAGTTTTCTGTTTTTTTCATGTTGCCAGGTGATTTATTTTCTTATAGATGAGCACACATAGTAAAATTCCCTTTGAACCTTTTTAATGTAACCTTTTTTTTCTCCTCAATTCCCCTTTTCCGACACAGCCAGAACGTGTGGCTCGAATCTCCGAGGTCCAAGTGGAATCATCACATCACCCAACTACCCTGTCCAGTATGAGAACAACGCCCACTGTGTCTGGGTTATTACCACAACAGACCCTGAGAAGGTGAGCTTCTTCCTGGAAATGATGTCAGTTCCCTGTGGTTTGGGTATCCGTGTAACTTTCTCAATCTTTTTTTTAATGTGTGAGTAAACATCAAAAGAGGAGAGGGGAGTGATCCGTGTGTCATTTTTGTGTACGTCCAGGGTGACGGGCGTGGGGGGCGGGGTGGGCTGCAAATTTCTCTCATGTAATACAATAGAAATTGTTATTAAATGTAAGGAATTCCAAGTAACGTAATATTGTTGCATCAGTTACCTCACTGTGGTGCTGTCGATTGTGTACCTTAATATGTACTTTTTAAGCAGCTGAACTTATTTGAACTTGTTTAATCTTATAGTCTAATGCATGCGAGGGAGCACAGCGTTTTAAGAATGATAAAGATGTTCTGGAGCATAGACAGTGAAGGGTAGAATTCTTCAAGGGTAAACCTTTTTTGTTTGGCCAATCTAATACATTTTCTTGATTGAATATTTCTTGATTGATGGTCACGCCGTGGGAATCACCGCTTAGTAGCTATTGGAAACTAGGCATTGATTTGGAACAGACTCACCTGGACTGGTGCAAATGTTCAGAGGGCCACTTCTTAATCGTCTCGCGGGCCACTTCTGGCCCAAGGGCCATGGGTTTTCCACCCCTGGTATAGTCACACTTTAGCTGAGTGAAGAACCATTGTCTGGACTAAAAACAGATGTTTTATCTGTCGCTGGTTTGCATTCTCCTTCCTATGAAAAGTAAATTTGCGCATTTAATTATTTTCTCAAATACTATGCAACCTCTTTTGTTGGAAGCAATGGGTTGATGTTTTTACCCTCCAGTTGTCTCCTCTGCTTTCCTGCAGTTATGAAGGGACTAAGAGTGACTGGGGAATAGTTCCATCGGAGCCAACCTCCTCTCAGCCTGTACCTCTCCAGGGACTAATTCTCAATGTGTGAGTGGCCAACAGAGGGCTGTTTGGCTGCTTATGGAGTCAGAGGCCATCAAAACCTCATGTGACATCCACAATTCCACCTGGAGAGTAATTAGGAGCTTTGCAGTTATTTTTCCTTCCTGGACACCATCTTATCTTAGTCTAGAATTGTGGAATATTCTTCAATTCAGTATTACTTTAGAAGCCTTTTTTTACTAAGGAGATCAGAAAAACGGCTTCCAACACAGCACTGAATTGCTGAAAGCTCCACAATTATCCTCAGACTTAACAAAAAGACCATTGCATCTTATCAGGTAAGGGTAGGTGGAATTTTGCGTCTCTGGCACATTTTTCCCTTCCCTTCCTTTGGAGCGATGATGAACAGACGGTTTGAATTTAATTACGTTTTAGTAATGAGTACAGGGAATGGTTTAGCCTGGGACATGACAGAGGCAATTGAAAAGCGCATTGTTACTCACAGTCTGTCTGCAGACATGTAACCACTTGAGTCAGGTGAGTTGCTGTCTTCCTGGGAGGAATAAGGAGGAAAGATGAACTGTATCTCAATGCGGTGTTGGTTGAATTGATAATGGAATGAACTGCAGGGGTTTTGGGGAATAGGCTGTTACATGGGACTGAAAAGATTGCTGTTTAAAGAACAAACATGGGCATGATGGCTTAATGGCCTTCTCCTGTGCTACAAACTTCTATGATTCTATTTCTATGGTTCTATAGGGTGAAAAATGTAATTATGTATTTTCGTAAAGATTCTGGAATACACAAATGAGAACTCCCTGTTGGAACCATCTCTAGAAGTAGTCATTGCAACTTGTGGAAACTCCGTTAACAACTTGCATTTAAACAGCATCCTTCACGTGGGGTAGTGTCTCGGAGCACTCCAATGTGGAAAGTATTCGAAATGCCCATTCTGTGTAGTGGCATTTTATCAGAGTTTGCCACCTTAGAATTTGCTGGTTCGGCATTTGTAAATGTCAAAACTGGGGGTTAATGCAATACATGTGGTTTGCGAGTATCGTATTTTATATCTTTTTTAAGGAGCGGGGGAGAAGGGAAAGGAGGAAAAATTACTAACTTGAGATATGATGTGAATTTTTTAATTTAATTTAATGAAGGGGATAAAAGCACAAAGTTCCACTCAGGAGCTGAAGATCTACAGTGCAAGAGAACATTCAAACACTGAGGCTTAGGAGAGGAGGAGAGAAAGTAAGGATTTTTATCCTTTTAATGGATAACAGGAGGTATATGAGCATGGGCACTAAAACATTGGTTGTGTTGTGGGCTCAACTGACAGTTAAGCCCACCCCACTTAATAATAGATAATAATATTAATTCATTATAAGTGTTGTCTTTACATTTGCTATAGTATCTTTCATAACAGGCGGACGTTTCAATCCATGACATAGGATATACTGTAGTGACTGTATTATGTAGGCAAATGTGGCAGCCAATTTGTGCACAGCTAAATCCCACAAACAACTATTACGTAAAGAACTTGTTTTTATTTGGGGGATTGTTGGTCAGGAAGTGGGGGAAAACTCCCTCCTCTTTTGGAATAATATTGTGGTATCTTTCACATCAAGCTGAACGATCAAGACATTGTTTTATCATTTAATTTGAAGGGCGGCACCTCCGACAGTATCGTATTCTACCAGCACTGCACTGGAATGTCAGTGTAGATTATAAGAGTTCATCGCGGCTGAAGACCTTCCTCTTCGACTGTGCCTACGATCACCTTCCCTCTCGCACCCGCTCAGCGCAATACTCTGCCATGTCAAGTGCTTTGGGACGTTGCCGTCTGTGAGGGGCACTAAATAAAGTTGTAGTTTCAACATGGGGTTTGAAAGCATGTCTTTCTGACTCAGTGGTGAGAGTATGTCAGCTCCAAATCTGCTTAGCACCTATTTTAAAGTATAAGGCCACATGTACTCTTTATGGTATTATCCACATTATCCCCTTTCGGATTGACAGAAGTGTGGAAACAGGAATAAGTGTCATTACTGCTTCAGCTCTGTGATGTGTTCTCAATTTGGTCATTAAACAGCGTGTAACAAACCCTCACCTCCTCACAGGCCATGCTTTCAGTTGACCAAAGTTAAGGAGATCAGAGATGCAGGGTATTAAAGATCTATGCAGGTCAGAAAAAAAATAGCGACCTAATTTTTTTAAGTGTGAATTCAAATTCCTTTCATTCTGATTTCGCTAATCATTAATAAAGGTTAATGGTAATTATGTAGCTTTCCTTTACAATTTTTGTTTGGTCAGCCACAGGATCTTTAATATCAATCTGAACATGCTGACCTGACCTCGGTTTATCGTTTCACCTGGTCAGCTGGTTGTCTGACAAGTGTGGAAACCTATCACCATGCTTGAGTGTCCAAACAGTCAGAGAGTTCCATGTATGCCACCTATACATAGACATTTCTCTGTGTCTGGAATGGAATATGTTCTCTTTCTCTGGAGGGATGCACCATGCTTAGTTCTGAGCATTTCCAGTACAAATCTTATTTCCCTGGTGACAGGCAGGCTGCTCAGCCAACAACAGTACAAGGCAAGGACAGCAGGAGAACACAAGTTCAGGATTATGAAGAGTAATTTCAGGACAGACATCAGGAAGTTTTTTTGTTACACAGAGGTTATTTCATGATTGGAACAGGTTACCTAGAAGGGTGATTTAGGCCGAGGCACGGACTCATTTTAAAAGAATGCTTAACGCTGTTATGCAAATTTGACAGTGTGGGTATGCAGAAAGGATGAGCTCAAATGGGCCAAAGGGCCTTCTTTATCTGAATGTCTCTTGTGATAGTTTGCATACCTCATGTCTTCCTAGCTTTGTCAAGTATGTTAAATGATAACTGAGTGAAATGAATGCACCACCACCAATGCAGCACACCCAAGCCCTGCATTAGAATGTCAGGCAAGTCATGATCCAAGGCTTGAACCTAGAACCTTCTGACTCATACAAAACTGAGACATGCTGACACATAATTATTCGTTGTCTGATGCATGAACCAAAAATAAATTCAGGTTCCAAAAGAAAAGTACCTGTATATCTAAATACTTCCTTCAGTTTAATTACAACAATGAAAAAATGTTCAAAGCGCAGCATTCAAAGTGAATCATTCAAAGCGAAATCATTCAAATTCATGGAAGCAAATGGAATCGGAGGTAATCTTGTGACATGGCTTGGTAATTGGTTGGGAGGCGGGAAACAGAGAGTAGGGACTAAGGGAACATTCTCTGATTGGCAGGACGTGACAAGGGGTATCCTCCGGTGTCTGTACTGGGACCTCAGCTTGGATGAAGGAATAGAAAGTTTTATATCCAAGTTTGCAGACAACACTAAATTAGGAAGCTCAGTAAATTGTGTAGATGGGAGTAGGAAATTACAAAGGGATTTACTTTGTAAGTAAGTACTTTGTACTCTGTTACTATGTTCCATTCAGAAACTATAGCAGGACACGGCAGCTGTAAAAGAAAAGCACAATATTTTTTTCTATAAATCTGTCACATTGTTGTACTTTTTGGGGATGCTTCTTATGGTGATGCTACTGCTATTTGATGGAGAAACGAAACAAACCACATTCTTTTTGAGTTCTCTAACACCGGTACAGAATTCAAAGCAAATTTCCAAAGTAGATTAGGTTAAGTCACCTCACTAGATGGTTTGAATGATTCATCACAGTCTCTCTAGATGGGAGAAAACAAGGCAGACACTCTGAAGATCAGAGCTGAACCAGTGAACATTTCTGTACATTAAGGGTTGTTTTATAGAGCTTAATGTTACGTTTCTATAAAACCTTGGTTAGACCATGTTGATAATAATATTGCTTGCATTTGATATAGTGCCTTCTTGTGTTTTTGAAACAATTCAAAGTGCCATTCGACTAACAACCAGGTTCCTGCTTACTGGTAGGTAAACAGATGTGTGGAGTAAGGAAACTTGCCTAAGGTTTTGCTCCACCTGGGAATTGAACCCGGCCCTCCTGCTTGCAAGGCAAGTTTGTCAACCACAACGCTGTGGGACCTGACATATTTGGGGTTCTGTGTACAGTTCCAGTTGCCGCTGTTACAGAAA